GGAAAACCAAATAAAATGAAGTCAACATTGCCTTTTGGCGTCATCTCGAAAGCATGATTCTTTATGAGTTGTCGCCCGTTTGGGTACAACGATTTATCCTTTGCCCTTATAGCCCGGATGTGTTTTATCAAGATTCCCTGTATGGATGATTTAGTTACTTCACAGGCTCTGTATGCTGATGAGTCCGCTACCCATGCAGGGACCATGAGAGACTTACTCTCCTCCTTGTGGCTTAGCGGGAGTTTTGAAAGCAGCAAAATATTCTCAAGCGAGATAACCATCCTTTGATAGCCTCGTGTTAGTCGTCACCATTATTATAAATAAAACTCCTTTGGATCAAAAGTATTCTCGGACAACCCCCAAGATGTATTTAACGAAGTGTGATACGTCCTCTTCGGAGCACTCTAGACCCCAAAACAGACAAACACACCTGAATTTCTGGTTGTGAGTAGTCTACGTACTTTTTCTTTGTAGATATTGGTGCAAGGTGCTTCTGCTTGATGTTGTTTGAGCGAACATATTTGATATATCCTTGCGAGGTTTATCGCATGTAGGCTCTCCACGTTTTTTTCTCTTGTTTGTCATCTTTATCGTATGCCCGTCTTTTTTTATTCCTCTCATCTCCTGATCATTGACATGATTCAGAAGAGAGACTTATTTGGAAAAAGTAAGTATATACAAATGACCGATCTTTTTTGTAAATCGACAATTACAAGAATTTGATGACACTACTAGAAGATTTAAATTTCAGCAACGGTGTCAAAAACTTGACTGCGACTTTATATATATGTGTTTGATTTAATAAAAATGTATAGATATAATATTTAATAATGTTAAAGTCGAATTTGTCAACGCAAGTATACGTATTGCTCAAGTAATATAGGGCTCTAATGGAGTCCTAGTTATCGATCCCACATGGAGAAATAGAATATTACAGACTAGGGCTTAATAAAAAGTAATACTTCAACTACAACAACGACGTTCAATTTGCTTATCTGTCACTAATAGGCAATTGAAATAAGTAGATAATTTGGATAACTAGTAAATAACTAATGATAGAAAGTAGGGTTTAATTGTGATATTCAATATATAAGAAAACATCCTTCTCCTTGTCAAGAAATTATAGTGAATGGATAAAATGAATTAGTTCAATTTATATTGTGCAAAATAGGAGCATACATATTCTTTACCATTTGGTCCAGACATAAAGAACATTGACTAATCCTATGCTTGGTTACTGATTCTCCGGCTAGGCTGGGAGGATACCGACTCTCACTTCGTAGCTTCCACGTTCCTCTCACCTGAGGGTTAACATCTACACATCACCACCCAAACGATAGGACCGAATTGGGGATTTTAGTCTGTCACTCTAAAATCTCCAATTCTACGCCCGATAGTAATATTTTCCTATTTATTTGCACCCAACTTCCAAGGGCTTTGACCTCCCTGAATCTTGGATGTAATCTTCACTTTAGTTGTAAAACTCATATTTTAACAAATCAATTGGCCAGATTGAAAGTAAATTAAGATCGAAGTGAAAAAATCATTGCAATTTCTTAAACATTTTCATGGCTTCACCAATTCAAATCACCATTTCACAAATCTCGAGACAAGGAGAAAGACAGAGAAAACTACTCAGAAATTATGGGAAAAGTACAATAAACTCGGAATTCATATATAAAATCAAAGTCATACAAACTATAACAAGTAAATAACTTATCTTTAAATTTCTCCTCAAGAACACTCCTCTAAGTTCCTCTGAGTCTCTTCCTTTCTTTACAACACACGGAATTCCTCTTCGAAGTAGCAAGGAGGAAGAAATCTCCCACTTTCCCTCCACTCTTACAATTTCTCGAAGAATTCCTCATAGTTACATGCTCTAGCAAGCTCTCTACACACTAATGGAACCTATCTAATCTCCAGGACTCTTCTATTTTTGACCAAAATCTTCTCTTTAAAGATGTGGATGAGTTTTCCGAAGAGTTGCTTATGCACCCCTCAAAAATCCGGCCTTATCCATTGTACAAGTACACATAACCGTCGATCCCGCCGTCGGAGGCCTCAATGGCGCCGTCGTCGGCCTTCTTGAGATTTTGTCCTGTAGCCTCAAGAAAAGCTCGCCGTCGGCGGCATCGATGGCGCCGTCAGGGCCCTAGTGCAATTCTCCACATTTTGGTCCTTTTTTGTCCAAATTCGCTCCTTTTTGCATCTTTTTGCTCCATTGACCTTAATTCATCATTCCTGCAACAAAACATCAAAAATACCTTTCTTTAAGGTGCAATATCATTAAAAACAGAATAAAAGAGGTACGAAAATCTCAACATATTTTCCTTTGGTCAACAAACTGGCTGCTTTAAAAAAAGATAAAGTAATGAAAGCACTATAAAAGGAAACAACAACGTTATTATCTTTGGTTAGTTTGCGGATAGATAACAGATTATGAGAGAGTAGAGGAGTGTGATGGATTTGGGAGAGTTTGTGCTTACGGGTTTGGGTAGGAAGAAGACCATCACCTTTATGTTGAATTTTGATAGCTTGGCCATTCCCTACAGTTACTTGTTCCATTCCATTTTATGGTGTAGGAGATTGTAGTTGATTGAGGTTAGAGGTGAAGTGATCAGTTGCACCAGAATCTAGGACCCATTCCTTGGACATAATATTGAGTGCTTGTGGTGGGTTGGAAGGTGTGTATTCTAGATTTGTTCTACGTTAGTAAATGGAAGCTGATTGCCCATATTTGTTACATATCTGACTAGTAACATTTGATCTATGTTCTTCCTCCCCTTGGTTGTGTTTGGTAGACTCTTCCTCCTCTAGAAGTCGTTCATTAATTTCTTCTCCCTATCCGCGAGAAGTGATTGCTACGACCTTTTATGGAGTTGAGAGCAAGGGATATCTCCACTGATGAAATCTATTTAGCATTGTCTGAATAAATATTTATTTCTTCACTTCATAGTAACAAGTTGAGATCCTCAAGAGCAATGGGTTGTAGGCGTGTCTGAATGGTAGTTTTAAATGCATTGTATGTTGGAGGAAGACCATTTAGAATGTATAAAATTACATCTTCACGATCTAGTTTGGATCTTCTTGCATTAATATGATATACTAATGTATGAACCTCAATTAAGTATTGTGTCATTGATTTGTCTTTCATAGTTAAATGATGTAATTCGTTCACCAACTGTATCACTATGGACCAATTTGTAGGTTGCAATCTATGTTCTAACGTTGCCCAAATCTCTGCCGTCGTTTGAAGCTGACATGAGGTAGAACAGGAATGATATGGTCGAGTGGAGGGATGCTGCAAGATTTTGATCAATAAGAAACCACTCTTGAAATTATGGATTCTCGGTTCCATCAGGATGACAATGTGAGGGACACTCATTGAAGCCATTGACAACAAATTTTTTTCAGTATATAGGCACTCCATACATGTTAGTTCCCAGATGTGAGGAGATTTCGAGAAAATTGTTTCAATCGAGAGGTAATAAATTTGAGTGATGGGGGTATTTGTATGAGCTGGGTAGATATAAGGGGATTTGGTGTCTCTGATACGACTGAATCCTCCATTTTCCTTGATGTATGTATAAAATGAATTATAGATTCTAATGAGGTGGGTAAGGGACCTGTGAAGACAATCACAACAACACTTACTTGCAAGAAGAACTCTCCTTGTGTAAGCTTGCAATTTAGAATGCTAGATGCAAAGCAGATACTACAGAAATCAGGGAAGTAGGGTAATGAAAAGGTGGATCATCTTTCCATTATGATTTCTCAAACCACATACATTACAATGGATATATATAAGGTAATTGAGAATCTTCTAGAAATAGCTGAATACTCATGACACATAATCAGTCAGTGAGGATCTTGGTGGTATGTTGCCTTGGGGACCTCTTGTAGTGGTGACAGGTCTAATAGTTATAAATAAGTTAGTTACATTAAGAGTATTATTTTCTTATTTCAAATGAATGATGATTTTACACTATTGAATTAAATCATAATGATAATTTCAGATATTAACAAGCCTTAGTTTGTGTGGTTATGATATTTACTACTTGTTTAAGAATTGGCTTATTTTGAAGATCTTGTTAGTTTGTAATTAATAAACTAATTAATAGACTGATCATAGTTTATATGAATAAGTTGTAAGTTATGACAATCAAATAATTTTAGGCAATGGAGTATAGTTATAAGATTGATATTGGAAAATTTTACTAAACATATTTTGAGAGAAGCATAGTCCAAAGTTTTACTTTATTTGACAAATTTAAAATTTATACTCAAAAAAAATTTAGAGGCATTCACATACTAACCTCCTATTCTTATGTAATTACATATCTTGAACTTAAATTTTATTTCTTCGTATTTATATCACTTAAATCTTTCATATCATATTTAAAATATCACTAGTTTAATTTTAAGGAAATTGAAATAAACCCTTAAAAATTATAACTCAGGGGTTAGATATATTAATATATAAGAATTGAGTGGTATGTTTGTAAATATTTCAAATATATATTAAAGTAATTAGGAGGTATTTATGTTATTTACCTAAGGTCATAGAAAAGGACAACTACCAGATCGAAGCTGTCCAATGAGATCAAATGAATAAAAATTCACTTAAGATATTTGGATAAAATATTAAAATCATAATAAAATGGATTAATATTTTAAAATTATTTTAAATTTAAAATAATATAAATTATATATAACTCTCAAGTGATTTTTATTCAACCAAAAAAAAAATCACGGGCCAACTCCTCATTCGCACGAGAAATATTTGCATACGACGTACAACGCAAGTCAGGGAGGTTATTCACATGGTATTGAAGGATTATATCCGCGTTATACCCCTGTAATTTCTGTATAACTTATCTGTAATCTACTTGTAACTTCTGCATTCCTATTTTCATATATTTATAGGATACAAATTAGATTGGTTATATGGAGTTGAGGGTATAAAGGGGATATAATAAATAAGTTTTTTTTCCCTTTCGAACAGTTTCTTCGAGACTCTGCATTTCTCTCCTCCCTTTTCTCACTCTTTGCCGGCGCAATGGCTAGCCTTCAGTCCGTGATCACCCTTCTGGTCATAGGAGGGTTTGCCTTCTTTCTCTCCGCCGCCGCCGAAGATGACAAATCCATCCAAGATCTGCTCCGGGACTACGGTCTTCCTCCAGGGCTCCTTCCCTCTGCGGTGAATTCCTACGACCTGGATCGGGAAACGGGACTCCTGGAAGTCCATCTCGACAGTCCCTGTTTCGCCAAGTACGATGGATTGGTGTTTTTCAACCAGACAGTTAGAGGAAATCTGAGCCATGGTAGCTTGAAAGGAGTAGTGGGGTTTTCTCAGGAGGAGCTCTTTATTTGGTTGCCCGTTAAAGAGGTCTTGTTAGCCGATCCCTCATCAGGAGTTATCTTTTTTGATATTGGGGTTGCTCACAAGCAATTAGCGCTCTCGCTTTTCGAGGATCCGCCCGATTGCAGCGTGGGAGGAGAAGATCAACGACAATTGGCTGTCCAGATGATCAGAGGAGGTTAGTATGCTGTAAATATTGAATTGTGTGCAGATTTTTTGTGAACTTTTGTGGAGAAAATGGAATTTTACGGCGCCTTAGGTTTTGGTCGGGAGGTCTGAAATTTTCTTTTTCTTAATTTGTTGAATCTAATGGTTTTTACCTTTGCGTCTGAATTTCAATTAATTACCGCTTGTCATGCGATCGATTGAAAAAACAATAAGAAAGATATGAGTTGGCTCCAATGGGGTTTCCTGTTCAAATTGTGATTAAGGGTTTTATACTTTTCTAGGTTTTCGGGGACTGTGGTTATACCATTTCATGGAGTGGGCTGAGAATTTAGCTTGAAGCCCAATCGCTTGAAGTTTGATTTGAATTTTGGCTTGGATCAAGATCAATATGCAAGCTGAGCTTCAATACCATAGATCTAAAATTTTAGCTTAATTTTAGCTCAATCGCTTGAAGTTTGAAATTTTTTTACTCATCAAAATAGCTTAATTCAAGTCATCTTGCTTGGATTGCAAGTCGTATTGAGCTCAATTGAATTTGGAGCTGAGCTGACTCAAAATCGAATGCACTAAGTCGTGAGCTTATTTTGAGAAGCATTCAAATGGTATTAGTTTGAATTAACCTCCTCTCCAAGTTTTTCTCCTTGCCTCTTATCTTGCTTCGCTAAGCCAAATAACACTCTTCCACTCCTTAGATACTCACATTCTCAATACAATACACTTAAGTTCACACTCAGAAATCCTAAATTCCACTAGTTTCTTCACAAATATCTCTTAGTCATCTTGCTTGGATTGCAAGTCGGATTGAGCTCAATTGAAATTGGAGCTGAGCTGACTCAAAATCGAATGCAATAAGTCGCGAGCTTATTTTAAGCAGCATTCAAATTCTTCAAGCCTAACATGATTTTGAACTGACAAATACAAGTGCACGTGTCGACCAAATAATATAGTGTATCTGCGTGAGTTCTTTCCCGCGAGGATAAGTTGTAATTTTTTAAAATGAAGTTCAAACACGAGCTTAAAACTCCAATTTTTGTTAAAAAATAAAATTTTTAAAAAGAGGGTTTTACATTTTTTAAAAATGGAAAAAATAAAAGAAACACAAAGCTCCAATGAATTTGTAATTTATTAAAATCAACTTATGGGATATGATTTTATTTAAAAATTTATCCTCGATCAGGAACAAAAATGGTTTAATGTCTCTGTAGAAAACTTGAAACCCTATTTCAAACATCCTTAATGCAATATTGCCTATGTAATTAGAAGTTTTCAAAATTGATTTTTTCATTTCTCTTAACGATTGTAATGGTTTAAAAACAATGTCCATTCTCTTAAACTCTAGTTATGAATCTTTCTAGTGTAGATTAAGACTATGTTGATATTATTAACCTACATTAAATTTTATGCAAGAGTGTGGCCACCATTTATGCTAGATGAAGTTAGAAGAAACACAAACAAGCATAGGAATTAACTTGCTATAAAAATCTTATACACATAACTTATAAATCACAAATTCATAGGAAAATATTCTTAGCTTAGCTTGCATTTTCACAATAAACACTGAAAGTCATTTATTTCATCATAAATATAAAACTAAATAATAGATTCAACCAAAAGAAAATGAAAATATAGAAGAATCTGGATTTCCAAAGGAAAATAGTATTATTTTGAATTAACCTCCTCTCCAAGTCTTTCTTCTTGCCTCTTATCTTGCTTCACTAAGCCAAATAGCACTCTTCCACTCCTTAGATACTCACATTCTCAATACAATACACTTAAGTTCACACTCAGAAATCCTAAATTCCACTAGTTTCTTCACAAATATCTCTTATGCACTTCTTAAGCCTTTTCACCTTTTCTAACTTTAGTATTGGCTTCAAATTCCTAATTAGAAATGAATAATTATTTTGGTTTGGCCGTAGCGCGGTGGCATTGTTGACTACATTTTCAGTCATCACTTCATCATTTCATTATTTCATTATTCCCCTATCTTTGCCTTGGACTCCTTTCTTAGAACCCCTCGTGGTTGGGCTGGTCCTGAATTGGTCTTGTTGACTCAAGTAGGGCTCTCAAAATACTCGTTTATTCGTGAACAATTCGTGTTTGACTCATTAAGAAGTTTGTGTTTGATTCGTTTGTTAAACAAACGGTCAAACACGAACAATTTTTTTTTGCTCTCGATATATAAATGAATAGTATTTTTAAATAATTTAATTATCTACAAGGCTACACAAATTTATAATCAATAAAAATTATTAATTAAAAAAAATGGAATAAAAATATATTAAATTATTTTTAAATGATGTTTTAACATAAATAAAAAGATTTAAATCTCGCTCATACCTTTGACATCCTACGACAACGTGATTAGAGTTATCAAAATGGTTCTTTGTTCGAGACCTACTCGTGTTCGACTCACTAAGAAAACGAGCCTAACACAACAACAACATCAACAACAAAACCTTTATCCTACTAAGTGGGGCCAGCTACATGAATCATTTTTCTCCATTGCGTCCTATTTAGTGTCATATTTTCTTTTAATTCTAATAGATTAAGATCAATTTTTATACAACATGCCCAAGTTTTCCTAAGTCTGTCTCTACCTTTTTTTAACATAAGTCGAATCTAAAACATCTACTCTTCATCTACTATCTACTCTTCTAATCGAATCATCAGTTGGTCGACGTTTAATGTGACCAAACCATCTAAGACGACTCTCTCTAATTTTGTCTGTAACTGGAGCTACACCAATCCTATCACAGATCTATTCATTTTGCTTTTTGTCTTTAAGTGTAAAGCCACTCATCCACCTAATCATTCTCATCTCGGCAGCACTTAACTTACTTTTATGCTTCTCTTTCTCTTTTAATTCTCTTTTAATGGCCAACATTCAACGCCATAGAGAATTGCAGGTCTCACCACAATCTTATAAATTTTTCTTTTAGTCTAAGCGATACTTTTCTATCACACAATAGGCTTGAAGCATTCCTCTGCTTCAACCAACTAACTTGACTTCTACTAATAACATCCCCATCACTATCACCATCACTTTGAACAATAGACACATGATATCTAAAGTGTTCACACCTTTTAATAATTTGATCACCCATAGTTACATTTCTGTCACTAGAGCTACTACTACTAAAATTACATTCCATATATTCAGTTTTAGTTATACTCAAACGAATGCCTTTTGACTCCAAGATAGACCTCTATAATTCACGTTTTTCCTGAGCTTTCTCTCGTCTTATCCACGAGAAAGATATCATCAGCAAAAAGCATACACCAAGGTACATCCTCCTGTAAGTGTGCAGTAAGACCATCCATTACTAAAGCAAAAAGATATGGGCTGAAAGCCAATCCCTGATATAAACCAACAGAAATAGGAAAATATTTGATCAATCCTCCTTCTCTTTGAATACAAGTAACAACTATTGTATACATATCTTTTATGACTTGAATAAAAAAAACGAGCCGAAAAAAAAAACTTTTTTTTGTGTTCAAAATTTAAACGAGCCGAATATGAAAAGTGATAATTTTTAACGTGCCGAAAACGAGTTGAGCCCGGGCTCGCTCGTATTTGACTCGTTTACACCCCCCGACTCAAGTCAAGGTCCAAGCCCGACTAGGTTGGGCTTTGGCCTGATTCAAGCATGCTTTGGTTGGCTTAGTAGGTGTTTGGATTTGGTTTAAATTGACATCACTCTAAATTCAAATCTAATTAAATAAACCTAATTTAAAATGAAACCAAATTAAAATTAAAACAAATTTTGATATAAATTTTAATTCAAATAAAATTCTATCTAAAATTCAACTTAAAATTATAATTACAAATTTGAATTAAAAGGAACTAAACTAAATTCTAATCAAACTTAATCAAATTTAATATTTAAACACAAAATTAAATCACTCTAAAATTGCAAATTTTAACATAAAACTAAACCATTATTTAAGTTAAATTAAACTTACACTTAAACTAAATCATAATTTAATCAGAATCAAATTTAAATCAAATGGAATTTAAGATTAAATTAAATCAAAATTTAAAACAAAACAAACATAAACTAAAATGAAAAAAAAACTTAATTAAAGTTTAAACTAAAGCATGAATTAAAGTTAAACTAAATAGGACATAAAATTTACATATATACCACTTTTCCTATACATTTGGATTGGGTGGTATGCATGTAAATGCCCCTAAAATAAAATTAATTTACTCTTAATTTAAATTAAATCATCTAAATCAAATTATTCTAATCAAATCTTAACTAATCTAATACAAAAAATTTATCCTCCTAAACTTAAATCAAAACATAAATTAAATTAAACCTAATTAAATTTAATTGAATTAAATTTATACTAAATCCAATTTGGGGTTTATTATTCTATATATAACACCTATTAATTTCAATTAGTGAGATTTTGAATTATTTAGATGAAAGAAAAGGCTGGGTATCAATTTTTGTTTAAACATAATCTCAATAATCTCCTCATTTAATCTTTTTATTATATTTATTCTTATAATTTTTTCAAGAGTTTTTTTAAAATTCTTCATCTTCACCTTTATTTTTCTTAAGGTGAGCTATTTTTGATTAAGTTAATAATTTTGAATTCTCTAATCTTCAATTACCTAAAGTAATTTTTATTTTTCAATTTTAATTTTTAGGTATAATATTTTAGACAATAATAGCCCTCCTTAATTTATATAAATTGATATCTTATAAAATTTAATAATTATTTATTCAATTAACTTACGTACTGGTCAATATGCCAAGTGTAATTTAGAGTTTTTGAATTAAAAAATTCTATTAAATTAAGTAAATTAGTTAGTTATTGTTAATTCAATATGAATTTTAATATTTTAAATTTTTATCATGACCTTAATTAATATACCGTTCTTTAAATTTACTTAATGATAATCTTAAGTTCATGATATTGTTCTAATAATTTCAGTCATTATAATTTTTATAAGAGATTAGCTAAAGTACAAGTTTAACATTGAAACATCAGTAA